AATTATGTGCGCTCAAAGTGACCCAATTTCTCGTGTATTCATCGAGGATATCTTCAATTCAAAATGCTTCTGCCGTGACAGCACCTACATTTAAAAAAAAAAAAAAAAAAAAAAAAATTGGAAAAACTTATGAAATTCTATTTTTGATAGACCTCTTTTGGGTATTTTTGAAGTAAATTTTAAGTAAAAAGATTTCAAAAACTATTAACCTATCTACGATGAATGTTGGACTCTGAGAATATCAGAAAAAATTTCAAAAAACTCTTAAAAATACAAATGATTTTTTTTTTAAATTCTTTCTTTCGTAAATTTTACCAGACTTGAAAAAGTTGCAAAGAGTATCTTATTTTGCTCTATTTTTTACTGTAGATCCTCTGAAGTTAAAGAATCAAACACATTGTTATCAAAAAATAAAATAAAATGGAAAGCACAAACAACACGGTAGACTGTAACATATTTACACCAGAAAAAATAGTATCTCTGAAAATTTAATTTCTAAAGTTGTTTTCACAGTTCTCAATGGCTTTTGAAAAGTGCTTTCCAGCGGTCGTCATCACTAGAAAGGGTCTCTTATTTCGTTTCTCCCGCCTTTCAAAGGAAAATTCACAAATTTTAAACCGTTGTTATGTGTTTAGTGGGGCTTTTTGGAAACTGGATCTATTTGTGTTCATTCGAGGGTTTACGGAAACACCCGACGAGGGAAGCGAGACGAATGTAACCTTTCAAACAGTGGCGTGGCGTGCTTTGCGATATATCGATTGATCGGTCATTTAAACCTATGGAAAAGTATCGATAAACAGGGTGTTCGCAGCGAACACCTTAATAATCGATTATTTATCACAGCGTCAAATGGGGAAATATCGATCGATCGCAAAGCACGCCACGCCACTGCTTTCAAATCGTGCGGAGACGTCGCGAGGTGTAAATAGAAAGAAACGTATCACCCCAATTTCCAACTTTAACAAGAATCCGCCCGAGCGAGAAGCGTGTCAGAAGAGAGGCAGCGGAAAGACCAATCAAGAAAAGATTTAATCCGTAAATTCAAACTGCCGAGTGCAGATAGACGTCTGAAAATAAAACGTCTGACTATTCGAGGTGTTCAAAGTGTTAGGCTGCGGGGCGAGACCGATTTTATCTCTTGTCTCGATCTAGCGGTGAAAATCAAATAATTTTATTTTACGGCATCCCCTCCTCCCTCCGCCCACCCGAGGCAAGCAAACACCCGTTGAGAGCGTAAATCTGAAGTGTTTACAATTTAGTGTTTGGCTTAGAAGCTCGCGGGATACAGCAACGTGGGTGTTTATCGGAACACCTAAGAGAGAAGAAAATATCCCGCGGGGGGTTTGTTTGAAGATCAGCTTGAAAAGTGCTCAGACACAAAATAATTGATTCTTTAAGGTTACCTCGGTAGTTGAACAAAAAATTAATCCTCTGGGTAAAGATTTTCGATCAAACATTTCGACAGTGTTTGAAGTGTCTTTGCTGATGGCCCCACACCTTGCTAAAAGTAAGGAAACAAAACCACACGCCTAAGAGTTGAAACACTTATTCTTCGCAATCACACGTCTACTTTGATTTGATTTTATTTCGTTAGGTGTCTACCTGATAAGCTTCATTTTTTTACACCACGAATTCAATGAGAAATTGCGTCTCTTGGAAAGCAGTTCACTTATCTTTCAATCTTTTTAAACGCAGGACCTGAACTGGCTTGTGCTGAAAGGTGGAGAGGGAGGAATCTTTACAGAATAAGTGAAACCCTGTCGACTTTTGGTGAACCAAGAGATTCAGTCAGAGAGGAAGGGTATTGATAAGGGCAGAAGGGCCGTGTTTAACCAAGAGATTCAGTCAGAGAGGAGGGGTATCGCTAAGGGCCGTGTTTGTGCAGCCTGAATAAAGTTCCTCCACTATAAAATTTGTTGCTCTTTAGAGTTCCACATTTTACGAGATGTATCATGAATTGGTCATTTCCGGTCTATTTTCAGGTCTAAAACTGACCTAGAAATTATAGGAGAGCCGATTTCGGCAAACGCGGATTTTTCGACTCTCAACTGATATCCGCCTTTTGCATCAAAATCGGCCCTCAGCCCATTTTTCAGGCCAATATTAGACCCGAAGAGAGATCGAAAATAACCACCTCGTAATGTATATCGAAAAATAAAATTCTAAATAATCAAAACGTTGTAAAGTTGAGGAAATCAGAGTCGATACTCCTGATACTTATCGATATGTATCGATACTTCTGCTCCTTCGGTCATCGGGGTGATTTTTACCTTAGCTGAACACAGATTTTCTGGAGAATCCAATATTTTGACCTAGTGGTCCATTCCTTTAGATTGAAAATAATGTCATGCAAATGTAACCATCGCTCAATATGGAGCCCTTTATTCTCCTGAGAAAATATACACTTCTATGCGAACAAACACTCGCAAGAGGATAAAATTAAACACATGTTTCAATTACCAGTAGGATCCTACTTCAGATGCCGCTGAGGCGCGACGTTGTAGCCTAAAACAACACTCAACGAAATGGTAAATGGCTGATTTACATATTGCGATCTTAAATACACATCCAAGGAAGTAGTTCAATTTTCTTACGCTCCAAGCAGTTTAAGAATCAAGATACATCAGAGAGATGGCCTCCCATAACGAGACTTTTGGATGAGAAGCATTCTGGAAGTTCCGTCGTTTGAAACACACATTTTTGCCCATTGCGAACGTTCTATATACTGCCATTCAGAACGTCATATCAACATTCGAGAGTTGCCAAATTTCCCTTGATAAAAAATGTATTTTTGACAAATTTCCACCTATTCTTTCACCTATTCTTGAAATGCTGCACCTATTTCTTTGAAATTTTCAGATGTTTTAGATTAAATTGCGTACAAAATTATCTGAAAATTTTGGGGGAAAATATTTACAATTTTCCCAGTGAGTTCAGTTTTTTTTTCGAGGGAAATTTGGCAACGTCTAAAGGCTCATTTAGCGTTCTTCCTTAGCACGACAGTATAAACCTCCGAAATTCTCACTTTTCATTTACTCCGCTGTGAAAATTTCTCTTCATTAACCGCACGTTCAAGATCAGTTAGATTCCATGACAACTTTGCCCATAACCCATACATAACCCAAAGCACTGAAGTCCAAAGATGTAAGTTCAAATGTTATTATAAAGGACGCAAAGGATTCCTGCATCGCGCTTTTTTTACACTAAGTACAGATCGTGTTCATTTTGATTCTCGTTCCTGAAAGTTCACCAACTTCAGCCGTCGCAGTGCTTGTCTCAGTGAGTTGGTGCGCTAAGTTCGCCTTCAATTCCGAATGATACCGTGCCACACTCAGGTGGTCGAATAGTTCGAATGGCGCATCGCGCCTCCGCACGCCGAGTATACGTTGCTAAGTTACAAATCGATGTATGTTGCTTTACATACTGTTGGGGTTTGGAGTTAATATGTGCATTTGAGTTAAAGTCCCTTTTTTTAAGTGATAGCTTCAGCTTTGCAAGCCATCACTATCGATGGTAATCAGGGAAAAAGTCATCAGCCCGTTCTACAGATGCTACCAATTTTATGCTTTGCGGTGTGGTGCAGGACATCTCAGCGCTTTTTTCGCGAGAACCTCGAGATAACTTACACGAGTTTAAAGGGGTTTCGGTGTACCTTGAACTTGTGATACGTAGATTTTTGAAAATATCGAGGCTGTGAGTTTAAAACTCCTCTCACATTTAAGTGATCGATGCCTTTTTTTTAAACGTTTTTTCTAAGACGCTACGGTGTGGGCTTAATCTACTTAGGAAGCGGGGTATTGTCAAGTTTAAAGACGAGTCACACAATTCAAAAACTTTCAAGCCTAAAGTGTCACAGATACGAAACTTAGCTCGAGAATAATTCGCAGGAAACTGCTTAAGAGAAGAGGAAATTGCCTCAAAAAGAGGCGATCTTTTACGGAGCTTTTTGAAAAGATGCGGATGCGTTTAGACATTAAATTGGGGCGAATGGAAAACGTAATTAACGGAGCGTGGAGGAACTACACTGAGGTGTTTTTTCACTCGAATCTCGAAGCGGAGTTTATCAATTTCAATAAAAAAGAACAGCAAAAAGGATAAAACTGTTCTTTATAGATTCCCTCTCTCCCACCCTCCGCGCGACCCTGGGCCGTTAAAAAGCGCACTATAACGCTTTGTGAACTTTCCTCTTTTATCCGTCTCTTTACTCGCAGTCCAACCCATTTCCTATTTACCAACATCTCTTTACTGCAATGGTTTCCGATTCTCCTCTTACAGTCATTTGTCTTCTTGTTTCCGCTTATCACAGACACTCATTTTATCATTATGCGCTTGGTCCAGAGTTGAATTGTTTGCGGAGATCCGAGAAAACTTATTTTCGCTTTTAATTAAAAATTGCCAGACGCTTGAAAGTAGACGCTTACAACTTGTCAAATGTTTCGCAGAGATTTAATTTAATTTATTTTGTCTAAATCTAATCAAAGACCAACGAGCTCATAACTCTGCGTCTTCGAATGATTTCTTCTTTCGCATCATCTCCATGTACATTTTTATTCCTTCAGTGATATAAACTTATCAAAATTTTTAAATAATTATCATTAAAATTCAAATGAAGCAAATTACTCCATGACAATTTTGGACATTTCGGCACAACTGAAAAATTGCATCGTATCCGTGAATTTGGTGTTTAGCGTTTGAGCAAGTTACCTAATGGACACAATTCTAAAATAGAATACAAAGTATCAAAAACAAAAAAAATGTTTGTCAGAGTATGCATGTATTTAGGATTTTCATTTTGATGGAAAGCAAATTTGAAGTCCTTTAAAATTACTCCATTCACCTAATTTCTATACAACTCGAGGGATGCGCACGTCATGTAGTGTACATTTTGCCCATTAATGAACAGTTCAAATTAAATCAAATTTTTTAAAGGTAAGATGTTTTTCATTTTCACACGTAAGGGGAGTTAAAATTAACTGTCATTTTTTCTTTTGTTGTTCCAGATCGTCTATCGAAAAGTCATCGTCTCCTCGTTGTGATCAGGATCAACATCACTCGTACAATACGTACATACGTCGGACTGTGAAGACCGTCGGAACTTATTCACGACTTAAAACGCACGATCTGAGAAAACTTGAACTTTAATATTACAATGACTTTCATTCAACAACCAAACTTGTTCAAACCATCATTTGTCAAACTGATAGTTGTGGTAAAATAGTTTTCTCTGGTGACACTTCGGGCTGAAGGCATTGCGCCCCTGGAAGAGGAACGAGTAAATACTTAAAATAATCAAGAAGTCGCTAATATGATCAATGAATCATATAGATTTTTGTCAGTAACAACGCAAGTTCTTCGATAATTCGTTAAAAAAGAAACTGAGATCGTCGATATTTTTGAAAATTTAAAACTTCAGCGTTAATGGTGAAAACTTAAAATCTCAACGCTGAAATGATCTCAGAGAAAGGAGGTTGAGAAACGTTTAACTCCGTCAGTTGAATAATACGTGAGGAGGTTGACGACTGGGATGATGCGTGTCGGAAATCCGTAAGAACCATCTCTTAGGAATCTGAAGTGAGGGTTGATAATACAGTGGTGTTTTTTTTATTAAATCCTATCGAGTGGACCTGTGGAGATTCATAGCCGGGTTTCGGACTGAGAGGAAGAGACAAGGGTGTTAACAAGGTATGCTTCGTGGGAAATCCATCTTTTAATCGGTGAAGATCAGGCACCTGAATTCGGGGCTCATGCTATAGTTGTAACTCTCTCATAAAGTACTATCAAGTGGACTCGCATCTCTATATTCTGTGCAAATTCGGAGAATTGAATGCTCTTGTGGAAGCCTGGAATGAAACTTTTTCATTGAATCCTGTCGAGTGGACCTGTGGAGATTCAAAGCCGGGTTTTGGAATGCGAGGAAGAAACTAGGGTGTTAACAAGGTATGATTCGTGGGAAATCCATCCTCTAATCGGTGCCTGAAGTGGGGGCTCATTATATAGTTGTAACCCTTTCATAAAGTACTATCAAGTGGACTCGCATCTCTATATTCTGTGCAAATCCGGAGAATTGAATGCTCCTGTGGAACCCTGGAATGAAACTTTTTCATTGAATCCTGTCAAGTGGACCTGTAGAGATTCATAGCGAGGTTTTGGAATGCGAGGAAGAAACTAGGGTGTTAACAAGGTATGATTCGTGGGAAATTCATCTTCTAATCGGTGCTTGAAGTGGGGGCTCATAATATAGTTGCAACTCTTTCATAAAGTACTATCAAGTGGACTCGCATCTCCATATTCTGTGCAAATCCGGAGAATTGAATGCTCTTGTGGAACCCTGGCATGAAACTTTTTCATTGAATACTGTCGAGTGGACCCGTGGAGATTCGTTTTGGAATGAGAGGAAGAAACTAGGGTGTTAACAAGGTATGATCCGTGGGAAATCCGGGAGAAGCACTTGCTAGTGGTTGAAGTGCGGGCGCGAGTGGAGATGGGGAACACAGGGACGACGCGACGGAACTCGCTGTTCACGAAGCAGGACTCGAGCAGCAGCGAAGTGGGCTCGACCCCGGGCGGCGGGGGTGGCCGGAAAATGACCATCACGAGCCGGCAGAGCACGCTCAAGGAGGAGGAGAACGAGCTCGGGCCGCCGCCGAAACCGCTCACCGACGCGCAGAAGAGCATGCTCGTCGACACCTGGAAGGCACTCGAGAACGACATCGCCAAAGTCGGGGTCATCACTTTTATAAGGTCAGTTTCTCCACTATGATCCGTGAGCATTTCTCGCGATTCTTTTTCGTTCTGATGCGCCAGATACACTCAGAGATCTGTGAAGTTTCATAAGGCTCGAATAAATTTCACAAAAGTTGAAAGTTATTAATTTTTTTAGAATTATTAATTAAACCTTTGGAGGTCTGGAAGCGTTTTAGGTGGTCTTTCTGTTGATGATGCGTGATGCGTTATTATGCTACTCTACTGAAGATGCCAGACACAAGGGGGGGGGGAGGGGGGCAAAGAGGGGAGTTTAGTGAGAAAAACCCCAACCTAACCTCGAAACTAAACGAAAACATTTGCAAAGCGCGAATGTTTTAGGCTTGGGGTAAAAAATTCCAAAATTTAGAATCACTGTTTCTAGGCGTTTCTTGACATCCTGAATACATCCCCTAAAGTTTCAAAAATATTAAAAAAATTTAATGAAATTTCATGAAATTTCACGCATGAAATTTAACACAAATAAATTTCATGAAATTTTCCATCTCTGGATACACCTGCTTGCCAGTAGCGCGTCTAGACGCGAAAAGATGGATCCGATCCTATTTTGAGCGAATTTCAGACGGCGAGTTGCAACCTGATTGACTACGGAAATTGCAGAACACGGCCTAAACCCTACTCGTCGCTCGAACATGCGTCTAGCTCGCAGGTGTATCTGGCACTTAAGGTAGAACGCCGTATGAGTCTTCAGACGTTGCCAAAGGAGAGGTATCGATAAGGACCTTTTTTTGACCCACCGTAGCTAAATTTCCTTAACTCTACGATTTTTCGCTCATTGAGAGTCAATATTTTACGAATACATCATGACTTGGTCATGTTCGGTTTCTTATCAGGTCTAATACTGACCTAAACATGGGTCCAGGGGCCTGATTCTTTGGAATTTGACTACAAACCCACATAATTCTCATTTTCCGACAAAATCGGCCTACAGACCCATGTTCACACTAGTAATAAATCCAAAAAGAAACCTAGATGGACCAAATTATGATAGGCTGGTTACAATATAAACCACCAATGAGCAAGATATCGTTAATTTGAGGAAATTCAGGGTGGAATTAAAAATGACACCTATCGATATCCTCCCTTTCCTTTGACAAATACCGAATTATCGAGAATATTTGTAAATCTTTCTCGTACGATTTTTCAGCGAATTTTGTTTGGAATTTAATCTAATATCTGCGAATTTCAAAGGAAAATATGCGCATAACTTTCTTCCCAAATAAAATTTTGTCAAAAGAAATTTGGCAGCATACTGGTTTCCGCTCGGCTATACGGTTTCATTCCTAATCATGGTAGTTCTGATCAATGAGCTTATTCAGTAATGATTAATTTTTGCAGTTTTGAAAAGTAGAGAGCCCACTTAGCTTACAAGAATTTTCCCAGAATCGTTGTTCATCTTGGAAATAGTGGAGGCTTTTATTTTTGGGGCTCCAACATTTAACTGTGGATTTGCCTTCTAGGTGGATGTTGAGAAGTGCGTGGGGCATTTCATTTCGCAAACAAATCAAAGTTTGGTAAACTTGTTTGGCTCATAACGTTACCCGAAGCTTTCATCCACTTAGTAAATAAACCAACAGCCAAAAAAGGGCGATGTGTTGAATCCCCAAAATACAACCTGTCACAAAAAGGTCGGTGCAGGGTTTGAATGTACACGGCGTTCTATCTCACGGCAGCACCGCAAACAGCTAGAATAAGATGACATTGACAAGAAGGGGCTAAATACAACTATTCCTGCTCTCAGGATGCCTGTGTTGCGTATAGAAGTAATTGAAGGCGCTCCAACTTTCCTCGCCTTCACGGAGATAAATCTCGCTGTAGAACTGCGGGCTGCCGGGCTTGGCGTTGACAGCTAATGCAAAGTTGATCTTTTCTACTGATAAGAGCAGCGTTTGACGTATTTTCAAACTTCATATCAAGCGACACACATCTGTTTACCATTAAGCAAAATTGATCCGCATTATTGCAAAATTTCGTTGGAATGCGAAACCACGAATTAATTCGCGTTTACGACCGCAAAGAAGCTTAACATGTGTCGCCTGAAAATTAATTAACATTTCAGACGAGAACAACTTTCGTAACGTGAACAGGGTACCCGGTTGTTTATTACATTGATATGAAACACTACCGTGTTTTTATTTAATTTGACTTTGAATAGGCTACAGAGCAATGAAACACCGCTAGCAAGTCTGTATAAATGTACTGGCTTCATGGTTTGCTCTGCCATGCTTATAAAAAAGAACGCCGGCAAAGTATCAAAAAGTCTAATAAGTGTGAACAAGAAACTTATAGGATACTTATAACAGAAAATACTAATAACTATTATCACACTTATACTTATTTTTGTATACATTTCAAAAATATCATTATTAAAATTTTTCAAAGTGATTTAAAACATATTAGAAACACATTCGTGGCCAAAGTGGGAAACCACGTATCCTCATTGCAACGTTTAAAATTTCCGCCCCGGTTAAAAATTTTACGTCAAGTAAATAGCTTTCAATTCGTGCAAAATATTCTGCTGACAGAGACAAAAAATCAGGGGAGTTCTCAAGAAATTAGATCGAGTAGTTTCCCAAGGAAAAAATAATAAAGTAAAACAGGAATGTCTGTAACTTCGCAAGCGGAAACACGCGCGGTTTCGCACTTTTACCATCGATATGCCACCATAAATTATCTCCATAAACGTCTTAAAGTTGTTTCTGAAATATTTTAGTCCACCCCCGTTTTAAAGGAACATTGGCAAAACATTTTATGGTTTTCCAGGTGCCTTATAAAGTCTTCGAGCGTTTATATGCCATTTAAGAAAGTCCCTTATAGCAGAAATCCGCCGGAATGGCCCTTCAGAGCGGAATCAAGTCCGATTTGCAAACTGTGCACGAAACCGTTAGGATTGTAATTCATGAGGTTTCGAGGAGGAACTGCGTAGGCCATGAAAACACCCGGATGTTTTCCCACGCGATCTGGCGCTCACTCAGCCTATTGCCTCGATGAGCGCGGCGGAGGCTGGGGTTCCGATGAATAGGTGTTTGTTGTTTCAATGGGGACCGCGGAGCGCCACTCGGCACTTACTAGCTTATGTCGTGTCTTGTCGCCTTGTACCTAAATCCGGCCACCTTTTGACAGTTTTCGCTCGTGCATCTTCTGCATGTCAGCGGTGAAAAGTCATCCACCTGTCCCCTTACAGTCATTCCCTAAACAGTTCCTTTCCTTGGGAGCTACGAAGCCGCCTTATGACACACGCGAGACGCGGAAGAAATTCTATGTTGCCAACCAGTGTTTCGAAACTCACCTTTGAGTTTTAGGAGTCATGTGGCGCATCAAGCCCGATTTTTAGGCGCCATTGAAGATTTTTTAGGGGCAAAATTGACTTTTTGCCTATATATTACGGCGCATTTAGTGAAAAGTTAGACGCAAGATGTTTTTGTAACAGAACTAGTTGGTAGTTGTAACTTGGGGAGGAAAAACGCACAAATGATGGAATCGTGAAGAATAGAAAAAGCTTTCACTTGAGGTGCTGAAAATTTCGAATGATCACCTAATATGAAAATTCAGATTTTTAGGGGGCAATTTTTAGGGGCCACGTTGGCGCAGAGCCTTCAGTTTTTAGGCGCCATGGCCGATTTTTTAGGCGCATTTGGTGCTTTGGCGCCTGTGAGTTTCGAACACTGTTGCCAATATATCCAAAATTGCCACCCTTTAGCCAAGGCTCAAGAGGCATTATACAGAGTGTTCTCGGAGTGAAATTGCAAAAGGTTATTTAAATCGGTAATGTTTTAGAGAGAATAAGTCCAAAAAATCTAGCGTTGACGTTATTGCATAGCTCTCGTGCATTAAGGGTGGTCCGCTCTTATTTAATCATTTTGAGGAGATTCAAGTTAACTGTATAGCTTGAAATTTTTAAAGAATATTCTGCAAACGCTGAAGACAATTAAGGAAGTTTTCGAGAAATTAGGTTGACTAGTTTTCCAAGGAAGCAATAAAGTATGATCGATGGTCTGCTACAGGGCTCACGTCATAATGTGCATAGTTCCGTTTGATAGAAATACATCCAAATGGAGTGCTGTCGTTTATAGCGCCTGGATGCAAGATGCAACTATTCGTGCTTCAAAGATGTGTGTTGCATCCGAAAGAAATGAAGGAGCTCCGGATTTACCAGTATCATACTGCTTTGAAGAAAGAATCGCTTGCCTGGACTGCCGTGATAGCGAAGAGAGCCGTAAGTGCAAAATTTTCGAAATCGAGTTTTCTTCAAAATTCTTCTAAACTCTTTTAGATGAAATTACTGAGACAGCTAAAACAGCAAAATTCATCCCAATTTAATGAAAACGAGACGTACGAAAAAGCCGTAAGTGCACTAAAAATGACATAGTTTTTTTCAAGACAGCCGCAGGTGCATGAGAGCCAATGAAAAAAGTGCTTTCCAGTAAAGTGCCGCCCTCTTCTGCCGATTTCTATCCTGAAAATGTGTTTGTTGTGTGTCCAACACGCTACCACAAAAGCAGAAGATAGCACCTACTGCTGTCTCGCCAAATACTAACCTAACATGAAACTGAATTTCACCTTTTTCATGTACTTTAAAATAAAATCGGTCGAGTTTTAATCCCCCAAATGATTTCTAAGAGTCTATCGAATGATTGGTTATGCGATTTGACAAAGAACGGAGGCTTCTTTCAATAAAATGTTCCACTCAGAAGCTTCTAGGCCCATTTTCTCAAAACTTCATTTTTGCACTTACTTACTGCTCTCTTCGCTATCACGGCAGCGGGCCTTTGTTTCCTGTGTTCAGTGGGAATAACAGGTGACTCTTGCGCACTCTTCCTTCAGTTTCTTTGATGCGGTGATAGCTACGGCAACGCGGGTTAAAGCTAATTAAAGGAGTCATTAAAACAGGCTGTGCTGTGATTCATTAGGCTTTTGTCTGTGAGCCCGCACTTTTCGGTCGTATCCTGCTAATTGCTTGTAACTCGGTTACATTCATT